TCAGTTCTCGTCCTACCCCAAGGACAAGCACTGCAGTGGGATTAAGTCCTGGTGATGACATGACTCAGAAGTCACCACAGAAGACTTCTCCTCTGACAAAGGTGAGCAAGGACGGATTTTTTTTTTTTCTATGTAGGATACAGAAGCTCAGGAGAATAAATGTAAGTTGATCTCTTTTAAGTTTGTTTATAATAACTAAATTTACAATAGAGTCATATTTTTCATTATTGATTCTTCTAGTAAATCCTATAAGAGATACTCGATTTAGTTGCTTCAGAGTTTTTATTGATTTATTTTTAATTTTTTAGTAACAACTATATTGAGGTACAATTTATATATTACAGAGTTTACCATAAGTGTATGATTCTATGACTTTTAGTTTATTCACAAAATTGTGCAACCATTTTTACAATCAATTTTAGAACAGTTTCATTACCCTCAAAAAGAAACCCTGTGCTTTTAGGAGTTGGCCCCTATTTCTCCTCCTCCCTAACCCTAAGCAGTCACTGATATATTTTCCAAGGATTGCTTCTTCTGGGCACTTCATATAAATTGATTTGCGCAATATGTATGGTCCTTTGTGACTGGCTTCTTTTACTTAGTATAATGTTTTTAAAGTTCATCTATGTTGTAGAATGTATTAGTACTTCATTCCTTTTTACTAGCAGTAATAATCTACGGTATGGAACAAACAAAACCAAACTGAGTGCCATCAAGTCGATTCCAACTCATGGTGAGACCCCCATTGAGTTTCCAAGGCTGTAAGTCTTTATGGAAGTAGATCGCCCCATTTTCCTTCCATGGAGCTGAACTGCTGACCTTGTGGTTAGCAGCCAAATGTCTTATTCACTGTGCTACGAGAGCAGCTTAGCGTGGATATAGCATATTTTATTTATCTATTAATCAGTTGATAGACTGAGTTTTTTCCAATTCTTGGTTATTATGAGTAACAAAGCTATGAACGTTCATGTACAAGTTTTTATATAGACAGGTTTTAATTTCTCTTGGATATATACCTAAGAGTAGAATTGCTGGGTCATATCGTAACTTTATATTTAATCATTTGAGGAACTGCCACTTAGTTTCCAAAGCAGCTATAGCATTTTACATTCCCACCAGCAGTTTATGTGAGAGTTCTGATTCTTCCATATCCTTGCCAACACATGTTACTGTCCCTCTTTTTGAATATAGCGATCTTGATGATTATGAAGTGGTATTTCATTGTAGTTTTGAATTGCACGTTCCTGATGGCTATTGAAATTGAATTTCTTTCTTTTCCATGTGCTTATTGGTTATTTGGGTATTTTCTTTAGAGAAATTCCTGTTTAGGTCCTTGGCCCATTTTTTAGATTAACTTGTCTTACTATTGTTGAGGTCAAGCGTTCTTTATATACCCTAGATAGAAGTTTCTTATGAGATACATAATTTGTAAATACTTTTTCCCATTGTTTTACTTGTACCTTTGCTTAGTTGATGGTGTCCTATGAAGCACAATAGTTTTAAACTTTGATGAGGTACAATTTATTTTTTTATTTGTTGCTTTTACTTTTATTTTTTATAGTGATTTGGGTGAATATTTACATAGCAAATTCACTTTCCATACAGCAGTTCACATACACTGTGTCTCATGACATTGACCACGATGCAACAGCTCCCCTCCCACTTCCTTCCGACAGTCACCTCTTCCCTGTGTCCATCACTCCATGCACTCCTGCCCCATGAGCTGTCTCCCTGTGCATAAACAGCCCTTCTTTCTCCCATGATTGTTCTTTCCAAGCAAGTGTATCTGCCTCAGGTAAATGTTCACCTTCTATGACTGTCTTTTGTTTGGCTGGAAGCCACAGGTGTGGGTTCATTTCCAGACCTGAAGGGCAGCTAGGGGTTATAGTCTCAGTAGTTCCACCAGGCTCTATCAGACCAGCAAACCTGGTTGCTCTTTTTTTTTTTTTCCAAATGGTTTTGAGTTTTGTTCCACATGGTTCTCCTTCTATATCCAGGATCTCCTACATAGATCCCCCTCCAAATGGTTGACAGTGGTAGCCAGGCACCATCTAGTTCTTCTGTTCTCGTAGTTGTATAGGCTGCAGATCTCATGGTGTACCCATCACTAGGACTAATTCTTTCCATCAATCTTTGGTTTTCTTCATTCTTCTTTGCTCTGGATGAGGAGAGACCCATTTTTACATCTAGATGGTTGCTTGCAAGGTTTTAAGATCCCAGTACTACTCGCCACAGTAGGAGGTGGAACAATGTTTTCTGTAGTATGTTATGCCATTGAGCGTGATGTCCCCTGTGACTATGGTCCTGAGCCCACAGGTTCAACTACTCAGTTCCTCTAGGTAGTTGGATGTGACCAAGAAGTGACTACAACCTTGTCCCTTGTCAGCTCTACTTTACACCTGGGAATTCTTACAGATCATACAAATACACTTATAGGGCCATTGTCTGCCAACTTTGTGCATGGTATTGGGTACAGTCCCTGCTTCATAGACATACCTAATAGTTCAGCCTATCCACTCATCTATTCACTTGTATAGCCATGTTTGTCTTCACTGACATACAGTACTGTATGTGTAAAAAGGTTCATGTTTGTAGTCTGTAACTCCCATGGACCTCTGTATGTCTTCCTCTTCCTCAATGCCACCGTGTTGATCACTCACATTTGGTACATTGCCCTTCTCTTCACCCAAATCAATACTTATGTCTACCTAACTAACAGTATTCCCTCCCTTCCCCTCCCACCCCTGGTAACCAACAAAGAAAATTTCCTTCCATATTTAAACCTTTCCTTGACTTTTACAATAATGGACTAATAAAATATTTATCCTTCTGTGATTCACTTATTTCACTCATCATAATGTCCTCCAAATTCATCCACGTTATGCAGTGTTTTGCAGATTCTATGTTTTTCTTTAGGGTTGCATAGTATTCCATTGTGTGTATGTACCAAAGTTTGGTTATTCATTCCTCAATTGATGGACACACCTAGGTTGTTTCCATCTTTTGGCTATTGTAAATAGTGCTGCGATGAACATGGGTGTGCATATGTCTGTTCTTGTGGTGGCTCTCACTTCTTTAGGATATTTACCTAGTAATGGAATGGCTGTATCAAATGGTATTTCTTATTCCAACTTTTTTAGGAATTGCCATACTGCTTTCCACAATGGTTGTACCATTTTATAGTCCCATCAGCAGTGTATGAGAGTCCCAATCTCTACACATCCTCTCCAGCATGTTATTTTCTGTCTTGTTGAACTTTGCTACTAGTGCTGGGGCAAGATGGTATCTCATTCTTATTTTGATTTTCATTTCTCTAATGGCTAATGATCGTGAGCATGTCTTCATATGTTTGTTGGCCGCCTGAATATCCTCCTTGGTGATTTGTCTATTCATGTCTTCTGCCCATTTTTTAATTTTATTATTTGTCTTTTGATTATTGAGGTGTTGGAGTTTTCTATAAATTCTACAGATAAGTCCCTTGTCAGATACGTCATTGCCAAATATTTTTTCCCAATCTGTAGATTCTCTTGTGACTCTTTTGGAGAAGTCTCTGGAAGCTCATAAAAGTTTAATTTTTAGAAGGTCCCAATCATCTGGTTTTCTGCTGTTTGTGCATTTTGGGTTATGCTTGATAGTCTATTTATGCCTTATATTAGAGTCCTTAAATTTGCCCCTAGATTTTCCTTGAGGAACTGTATGTATAGTTTTAGGTTTCACATTTAAGTCTTTGATCCATCTGGAGTTCGTGTTTGTGTATGGTGTGAGGTACAGATCTTGTTTCATTTTTCTGCAAATGGACCTCCAGTTTTGCCAGCACCATTTATTAAACAAACATTCTCTTCCCCATTTAATGGATTT